CAGCGGCGCCCGCCCCGCCGCCGGCCGCGGCGCAGCGCAGCGCCGAGAGCTCGCGCGCCGCCGCGGCCGCGTCGTCTGGGCCGCCGACAACAAAGATCCCGTCGCCCACGGCCGCGGCGCCGCCTCCGCCTGGGCGTCCGCCGCCGCCGCCGCCGCCGCTGCCGCGCGCGGCGGCCGCAGCGAGCGCGGATACGTCGGAGAGCGTGGCGACGAGGCGGGCAGCGTCTGCGGCGTCGCACTTTGTTATGACGAACGCGGCGGGCACCTCGAGGGCGAGCGTGAGCGCCAGGTGCTCGCGTGTCGCGGGGGACACGCCAGAAGACGCGCAGACGCAGACGAGGGCATAGTCTGTTGTAGTTGCAGAGAGAGTGTGGTTGTGCGTGTGTGCGTGTGTGCGTGTGTGCGTGTGTGTGTACTCAATTGTGGGAGACAAGGAGAGTGGCTGGGTGCATTGGCGTGCGGGTTCACGTGAGTACCGTGTGCAAGTGCATGTGCTCAGGCACGTGCGTGCACGTGTGTGTACATGTGTATGCACACGCACATGCATCTGCACACGCGCCGCCGCCGCACCCGGCAGCATGGACGTCAGGCCGAACAGGGTGGTCTTGAGGAACGAGTGGTGGCCACCAAGGTCCAGAAAGGTCACCGCACGCGCGGCCGCGGAGCAGACCTCGGCGGGCGTGGGGGGCGCGACGCCCGCATAGTTGAGCACCTGCGTAGCGGAGGCGGCGGAAGGGATGGGAGGGTTGAGGGGTCGATTCGACGGTGCCTGCGCACACCTCCTGAGCATGCATGCGCCCATGAACACAAAGCATGGGCACAGAAACAGACCCATGCACAGCAAATTCCAAGTCGCACTCTGTGCCCCCACACAAGAAATTGCTCCCACACTCACATGCACATACTCACATGGACTCGTAACACACACCCAAACAGACCCAACCTACCCACGTTCACCCAAGGACGTACGCACAGCCCCATCAACAATTCCATCCCCACCCTCGCCGCACACCCAGTCCACCCAGTCCACCCAGTCGCCGCCCACCTGGCCGTCCGCATCATACCCCAGCAGCGCCTGGCTGATGCTGCTGGTGCGGCCGCTCTGTATCTCGTGCTTGTGCCGCAGCACCGCCATGCGCGCGCGGCCGCGCCCGTTGTCGAGCAGCGGGCGCCCGTCGGCGCCGTGGGTGAGGACGGCGGTCAGGGTGGACTTGCCGCTATCTGTCGAGCCCGCCACTGAGATGAGAACGGGCGGGTTGAGGGGCAATACTTGAGCTTTTGGGGCGGCCGCCGGCAAGCTTGGCCGGGTTTTGGGGCAGGCGGTCGAGGTTGGGGGCACATCGGGGGGAGAGGCTGGGGTTCGGCGGCCGTTTTGGGGCGATGGCCGAAGGGACACGGCCGCCAGCAGGGCCCGCAACAAAGGCGGTATGGGCCGGGGGTTGATGCTATAGCGAGTGCGGCTGCGTGCTGACTAGGCGCGCCCGCACGCCTTGGGTGGGGGGCGGTGTCAAGAGGCAAGCGGCGGCACCGCAGGCAAGGGGGTGGACGTCATGGCCGAGACAGGGCGCGTCGCGCCGCCCTGCCGACAGGCGGCCGCCACCCACCTGCGACCCGCAGGTCGATGCAGGCCACCTCCTCCCGCGTGTTGCGCTCAACGTGGACCAGCGCCGCCTCCCGGCCAAAGGCGCCCTGCGGCATGCAGCAAGTCGCGGATGGTTGGTCTTGGCCGCGGTTGCGGTCGCAAATATGGTTGCGGTTGCAGATGCAGATGCAGGTTGCGCGTATGCCCCCACGCGCGAGGGGGCGTGCAGCGGCGCATCCGGCACGCACCCGTCTGGAGGGCAGCGGGCCCTGAAGGCGACCGCTGCGCCGCGGCCCCCCTGGAGCCCTTGGAGCCCTCAGTATTAGAAAGCCGCAGGGGATCCGCTTGCGCGTCCGGCACACAGACGCCCCCCAAGGACACCCGCAGGGGCGGCTGGCGCAAACCCTCAACGGCCCCCGGCGGGGCCCCCCGCGCCCGCGCCTCCCTGGTCGCTCGACATTCGCGGCCGAGCCCGCGCCCACGCGCGCGTGCGCGCGCGTGCCGAGTCGGCGAGGGGGCATCCCTCACCCGCAGGCGCTCCACCAGGCCGGCGCGCGCCCCCAGGGCGGCCGCCATGCGCCTCAGCGTCGCGAGCGACGCGTCCAGCTGCTGCGGGTCCAGGCCGCACGGGTAGCCGTCGTCCTCCACGCCTGGCGCAGGGGGGGCGGCGGGCGCGCGCCGTGGCGTCGCTCGGCACGCCGCCACACGCGTGCGCGCCGAGGCAGCTGGCCGCACGCCGCCGCTGCTGCCGCTGCTGCCCTCGGGGAGTCGCTGGCTGCATGCAGACGCGCCGTCTAGCGCAGTCAGTGCCGCGTTTTATGACTTCATACGACGCCCACTGACACCCCTGGGCGATTGCCGGCTCACCTATGTAGTAGAAGGCCTCGCCGCGCCCCTCAGCCAGGCGATACTTCATCTGGGTGACCTGGCGGTGAGGGGGAGGCGCATGCAGCGCCGCTGAGGTGTCCACCACCACCACAGCCCTGGCTGGCCCACACTGTCGGGTACCCGGCCCCGCGGCGCGCGACCTTCGGAGCCTCCCCAGCCAACACTCGCGCATGGAAGCAGGGGGGGCGGGCCATGTCCGGCGCGGCTTCTCACCAGCTGCTCGTATCTGATCGGGTTCGAGGTCGAGATCATGAGCTTGAACTCGACGTTACCCTCCTCGACCTCCGGATCCAATGATGACACCGAAGGGTCGCGCCCCGCGTGCAGCCGCGCGACCGCGTCTGGGTCCGCCGCCGCAGAGGCGCGAGCGGCGCGGCGGGCGGCCTTCTTACCAAAGCGCTGCTTCCTGCAGGGCGGCGGGGCGTGTAGTTGGGTGGTGAGGCTGGGGCCGCGGGGACGCTCTGCATGCTGGGCCGTGCCCGGCCTTTGTGCTGCCTGTGCTCCGCCGACAGAGGTGCAGGCGGCGTCACGAAACAGCAGGTGCCAGCATGCACGGCCTGTGGCCGCTCGCAGCTCGCATCAGCCCGCATGCGGCCGTAGCGACAGCAAGAGGGGGCGGCAGCAGCAGAAGCAGCCGTCTTCATGGTGCTGTGCGAGGGCTGGCGCGCGCGCGCTCACTTGTGAACCTTGGCCTTAGCGCGCCTGGGCGGCGAAGGCGGCGCGAGCACCGCCCACGGCCGCGGCGCCCCTGCGCTGGAGCCGAGCTCCAGCTGCGTCTCGAGTGCAGAGAGGTCCATCTCTTCGTCTCCGCCTGCAGCGCTGCACCGACGCCGGTGGCGCGGCGCCGCACCGCCCCGCTCGTCGCGCTGCTCCGCTGCCTGGCGCTCTTGATACACAGCTAGCGCGTACACACGCTACGATTATTCGTGCTGGTATTGTTCCAGATGCATCCATATGAATACAAGAGGGGCCCAGCGTCTCAGAGCATCACCCTCATCGCATCACGGTCGGGTGAGAGGGAGATGCTAATGCAATTGTTATTTGTGGAAACGGACAGAGGACGATGCAGAGTTGCTGATATAGCGGTGCACAAGCGTCAAAAGATCGTGCTGATGCAGTTTCGTTGCAGGCATCACTCGGGAAGCTGGGCTCTTTTGATACGGCATTCATTTTTGAGATCCAACACATTCAGCGTGTGAATTACATAGGCATTGCCGCTGCATGCGCGGCTGCCGTGCATGCTTCGTGCGACGCTGTTGGCAAATGCAGCTCGGGATGTGGCTGGCCAGGCCAGCTTGGCCTGCCGCCAATTGCACGCCGCGGTGCCCATCGGAGTAATTCAGGCCAGTCCTGGACTCAGGCATGGACTCAAAGCTCCCCTGGATACTAGAATGAGCACGTGCCGACAAGGCCACAGTCAACGACGCGTTTGACCTCCTAACGACACCTCAATGGCCGTGCTGGCACCTGCCGATGGACAGCCATCGCGCATGATTAAGGGCGACTCTATCTGAAAACTAATGTCTGCATCAAGGGCTGAATTTGGTTTCACTGCTTGGAGATGGGCCTGATTGGCCGATGAAGCCCAGCAGCCCGCAGCCACTGTATCGGAACGCGCCGCAGCGGCACGAGCGTGCGTCCCCCTTGCCCAACCTCTGCACTCTCCCTGACACTGGACATCAGTAGCAGAGTGCAGCTGTTGGGGATGCATTATTACGGCGACACACCCACAATGCAAAGGTAGGCCTCCCGGATGCTGACTGGATGCGCCATGCACGCAGGTACATCGGAGCACAGGCTCCTTCTCTGCAACGATGCAATCCCTGTCCGCACCAACTGTTTTGCATGGTCCCTCTCATAAGACAACCACTCCCTCTCAACAGAGACCTGGTCCTCTTCCAACCCCCCGCTAGCCCCATGGCACCACAGCGGGCCCCTTCGGCCGCATCACACGCCGTCCCATCCACAATCACTCACAATTGTGTCCCCTGTCACCTGGCTTGCAACCCTGTATGCAGACCCAAGCCACTAATCTCTGACGTTACACCAGTAGGCGCCTTTCGACCTAGGAAACCCTGCAAAAGGCCTCATGCCTCATCGCCAATGGGAAAGATTTGTCGCCAGCCGGCCACGTGCTGTAATGGGCTGTGGTGAGATGTGCACAACATTTTTATGGGGGATGCCCACCACCGCGCCCACCCGTGCGTGAGACAGGAAGAAAGCCCCAGTGCACTGTGTGGGTGCGGTGCGGGCAAGTCGGTATACATGGATATCGCTCGTCTGCTTGCGGCAACTGATGAGTTTTGCGTTGTAATGGGATGGTGCGTGCCACATTGGAGGCTGGTTGGTTCGTGGTGATTTGATGTGTGTGACGGAGGTGCAAGATGTGGGGTGGTGTACTGCTATATCTGTATCGGGCGCGTGTTGGGCGCTCTCCCTGCCTCCCCCTCTCTGCAACACTTTGGCAACCACTTAGACCAGTCGTCTAAACCGCATGCCGCCCAGCACCGGGCATCCTCCTCAGCTCGTCAACTTTATTCTCGCCAACGGGTGGTGCCCATCGGCCAGCGCTGGGCCGGCGGCCACATCCGCAGGCCTCGTTGCATGGCCTGCCCGGGCGGCAGCTTCTCACTCCAGGCCCAGCAGCTTCTTGACCGACGCGGTCGCCTTGTCCAGCTGCTGCTTGAGGCCGATCTGCGCGGCGGCGGCGCGGTATCACAGTTGCCGCCACACAGCAAGTGGCTGCCACACGTCCGCATGACCGGCGGCCTGGGTGCCCAGCCCGCGGCTTGGTGGAGCGTCTCGGCCCAGCGCGCCGCGACCCCTCACAAGCGCCCACGCCCATGCGCTTCGGCCGGCGCCCCCTCCCCTGCCCCGTCGCCCCCCCGCCCCGGCCCGGAGTGGGTGCCGGCGATGCATGAAAGCAGCGCGGTGCGTGCGGACTGCATCAACGCGGTCTGTCTGCAGTCCGCACCTCCCGGGCCTTCTCCACGATGTCGATCTTGTCGAGCCGGGCCTTCAGCTGGCTGGCCGCATTCCTGATAGCAGCCTCCTGCGCGGGCGCGCATGCGGGGTGCCGGACGCCATTCGATCATCGCTCGTGACGAGCGGATCATGCGTTTTGCGTTGAGTGTTCGTCGTCATCAGCGCGGCTTGTTCATGTGTCATGCAATGAGGACGGCGGCAAGATGGATGACGAGCGCTGCTGGACCGAGCGTGGTCGAATTGCAGCCAGCAAGGGATGCATGCAGCCGCAGCCAAAGGCAAACATGGGGGCCGGTCCCCACCGAGGTGCCTCAAGCTGAGCAGCTTACCAGGGCCGCCGGCTCTGGGCGCCCACAGAGGGCAAGTCCCGACGCCGAGGGGCAGCAAGCTAGGTCTGCTCATTCTGGATCTGGGTTTGACCGAGTTTGACTGAGTTTGACTGCCTTGATGACCCCACCTGGTCCTTGATCTTCTCTTTTTGGTCCTCGATGAACTCTATCGCCTTCTCATCCTGGTGGGTGCGCGCCGTCGCAGGCCGAAAGGAGTGCGGCGGGAAGGCGGGAAGGATTGGGGTTTGGAGGGGGGGAGGGTCGCATTTCTTTGGGACAACGGGGTCTGGCACGCCAGGGTCGGGGGTGGTGTCGACAGATGCGCGGTTGCAGCTGCCAAAGCACACAGGGCGCAGCTTCGTTACGAAGGCAGGGGTCGACACGGCGAGGGAGACAGGTGACTGCGGTTGAGGTGCGTCCAAAAGTACCACACGCTAGCTTTTTGCAGGCAGGGCGAGGAGGCGGGGCCAACATTGCTTAAAACGCGGGCTGTCGAAGTTGTCGACCCACCCCCTTCTTCTCCGCCTCCACCAGGGCCGCATCCTCCTCGATCAGCTTGCGCTGCAGGGTGTGGGCGGTCGGTGGGCAGTTGGTGGGCGGTCAACAGGCGGTCAACAGGCGGTCAACAGGCGGTCAACAGGCTTTTGAGGGGAGATTGACCAGCATTTCGTGGGCGGTTTCTAAGCCGTCTGTTGCGGGTGGCTGCCAGGTGGTTGGTGGGACAGCAGGCGGTGGGGAAGGATGCAAAGGAATAAAAAAAAGGCGCGTGAGAGGACAGGAGGCAAGCTGGGATGCAATGGGCGGAGAGGGGCGTCCACACGACTGACCAACTCTTGCGTATTCAAAAAACGCCCCGTAGAGGGCAGACGCCGACGCACGCTGCCGCACCGTCCATTAAGGGGCCCCGTCCTCTCTGAGCGGTCCCTGGGCCCAGATCACCGTTCAAGATCAAGGTAGATCTCGTGATCTCACCTGGATGACGTCCTCCACCTCCTCCAGCTCGCGCTCCACCGCCTGCTTCCTGCGCGAGGATTCAATCCAATCAGAAGTGATGGGCAGGATTTCAAGAGCGTGCAAGCGGCAGCTGCCCGTTTGTCTGCCTCATGTGCATGGACACACGTGTGTGTGCCCCGCTTGCCGCTCCTCCTGCTCGTGCTGCATGGTTGCACTTCGGGCCACACCACGCATGTGAGAACGTGGACCCCAGTTTCAGTGGGCCGGGCCGGACTGGCGCCCTTGCGATCTCACTTTCCGAGGATCTCTGCCCTGCGGGCGATCTCTCCCTGCTCCAGCTTGTACTCAACCTCGGCCTGTCGACGACAGTGCATGGGAGGTGATTATGTCGATCAGAACCAGCAGTGGCGGGCGCGCTGTTGGTTCATTGGTGTTGATGTGGTGAGGGGGCAGGACGGAGCAAGGGCAGCATGGTGTCATGATGTGTAAACAGAGACGCCAGGTGGCGGGCAGGGCAGGTCGAGGCAATTTTGCTTGCAGTGGGTCGAGCCGGCCTGCCATGAGCAGCGGCGCAGCCGCATGACATGGCACGCGCACGGCCCCTAATTAACGTGACGCAATGCAGCTGCGTCTGAGCGCTTCCCACCCGGTCGCGGTGTGTGCGCGGGCACCGGCAGCCCACATGCAGGAAAGCAGCAGTCGTAGACCCACCCTTTGCTCCTGGATGAACTCCTCCTTTTCGTTGAGAATCTCCGCAGCAGCGGGCGCCGCCGCTGCGAGCTCGTCGGCTGCGATTATGGGGGCGGCGTCGCCCTCCCCGTCGCCGGCGCCGACGGCGCCCTCGTCCGCCGCCGCCGGCGCGAGCGCCTCCTCCGCAGTGGGCGGCGCCTCGTCAGTGACGGCAGGCGCCTCGTCAGCAAGGGCTGGCGCCTCGGCCACCTCCGCAACGGCGGGCGTTGCATCCGCGTCGGCGGCAGAGGTGATGGCCGCGTCGGCGGCGTCGGCGGGCGCAGCAATCACCTCCTCAGTGGTGGCAGGCACGGGCGCATCACCGTCGGCGAATGCGGGCGCTGGCGAGATCATGATACCGAGGACCAAGCCCAGCGCAGCGGCGCCGCTGGCGAGACCGGCAGGCGAGGTGGCCGGGCGCGCCTCGGCGCTGGAGCTTCGCGACACGACGGCAGGGCGCCGGGCAGGGGCCTTGGCCGCGGCACAGCGAGTCATAGAGGTCGTGGGACGCGCAGCTGTGACCTTGTAGGCCTGCATCGTGCCAGGATCAAAGCGAGGAAGGCAGTTGACGCTCCTGGTGGGATCTCTGGATTTGTTGCGTCCGCAACACGCAAGAAGGAGGATCGAGAGAGGGTAAAACCGATGTGGATCAACGCGCTAGGCGATCACGGATGACTTTCAATGGGTGTGGAGCTGCGGTGGGTGACTGGTTGGGGGGGGAGGGTCCACAGTGAGTCCTCAGCTCGTGACTCGATCAGTACCGCATCTGGTCGCAATTGCAATTTGATTGGTTTGCATTCATTCGAATTGCAGGGTGGTTCCTTTCCCCAGGCACGCGCATTATTGCAGGACTGGTGTTGCCATGCCTCGCGTTCGACCTTACCCGTTGTGCCAACCTGTCAATTGATAATAAACACGCCTCTTGATCGTGACTGCCCGGCTGACTGCTTTGGTCCTGTTATTGTAGGTGGGCCACCCACCCATTGTCGGATCACACCCACCCTGGTCGTCATTGTAGCAACAACGCGAGCCCAACGACGCGAGCCAGGGTCGCAGGCAGCTTTGTGGGCCATCCAGTGCAGACGGGCGAGGTGCCGTAGCCAGTGGCGGACGCGCTGCAGCGACGCACGATGCTGCGGCCGACAGGCATCGGCCTGAGCGGCACGCACGCCAGCCCCGGCACCAGCGAAGCCACTCAGCCGATGCGGCACACCCCACGGCTGATGCTCCGGGCGCTGAGGCAGCGGCAGCGACCGAGCGCGTGCCGCGCCGCGGGAGCAAGTCCTGCCGTCTTATCCGCGCTTCACATGGCATGGCCGCACGCACGCAGCGCCAAGCCCGGCCACCCGCGATGGGCCTGCTGCGCGCTGTCGCCGCACAGCCCAAGCGGGAGCCCGGCAAGCATCAGCAGCGTGGACGGCGGAGACCCCGCCGCCGCAGCGCCAACGGCAGCGGCGCAACCGCCGGACGCCCTGGCAGCGCCGCCATCCGCCAGCAGCGGCGGCGGCGGGCCGGCGCCGTCGATGCTTTCCTCCGCGATCCAGGCGGCCATCAATGGCAGCACCAGCGGCGGCGGGGGCGGCGGCGATTGGGACGATTCCGGGGCGTCCGCACCCCGCGCGCTGGCGACTTCTGGCGGCGGGGAGCCCGCGGCCAACCTGAAGAATGGCAGCGGCAGGGGCTCTGCGGCGGTGAGGACAATCCTGGCGCCGTTCCCTGCCGGCGACGCACCGCCGCCGCCGCCAGTGCAGCAGCAGCAGCAGCTGGAGCAGCTACAGCAGCAGCAGCAGCAGCCCGAGGACGACAGCGGGCGCGCTGGGGGCAGCAGCCGGGCGGCGGAGGAGCGCGCGCGGCGCGCCGCTGGTGGCGTAGACACACGGGACGACAGCGGCAGCGCGTTCAGCCTGAGCAGCAGCAGCAGCACCAGCAGCAGCACCAGCAGCAGCATGGCCGTGTCCGACCCCCTCGACGGCGGCGGCGAGGCACCCCCCGATGACGCCGGCGTGGGAGGCGGCAGCATGAAGCGCCGCCTGCTGCAGCGGCGCAACGGCGCCGCGCCCGGCAACGGCCGCGGCCTCGGCGCCCTGACCGGCCTCGGCGGCGGCTCGCCAGCCCCCGGCGCCTCGCCGTCCGGCGCCTCGGCCCAAGGCGACCCGAAGGCCGAGGGCGGGGGCGGGGAGGGGGAGGGGGGCATACCCCTGCTGGGGTCCCTGGGGCGCCTGCTGTCAGATAGAGAGGACCTGGTGACGCTTTTTTACGCCATGGCCACGGGCGTGGTCGTGGCCGGCAGCGTCTTCTTTTTCGACGTGTCCATCCAGTACATCCACGACCTGCCCGACATCCTGGCGGTGAGACGAGAAGCCGCCCAGAAGCTGCATGGGAGCTCCGCGAGAGGGCCGCCGACGGCGGGCGGGCGGGCGGCTCGGGGGCGGGGTCGGCCGCCGCGAGGCCGAGATGGCGGAAGGTCGCGCCGGACAGGCGGCGGGCTTTGCCAACGCCGCTGCCGCTGCTCGGCAAAAGTCGAGCTTGCATTCAATCGCACTGACGGTGTGACCGCCGCAGCCCCCGCACTCGCTCGCCCCAGGCGCACCGTTCTGCTCCGCCCACCCCCCATCCCGACCTCAACCCCACCCCAAATCCGCCCCGTGCCCAGAACCTCCACGTCGGCGGCGGCCGCGCCACAGGGCTGGTCCTCGGCGACCTGGCCATCCCCTTCCGCTGCATCATGCCCATCGGCGCCGGCTTCGCGGTCGCGGCGCTGCAGAGCCGCGGCTTCGCGCCGGGGCTCAAGTTTTTGACGCGCGCCATCGAGGGCGTAGTGGATGACAGCAAAAACGCGACCCTGCCGCAGGATTACGGCCAGGTGTGCGCCCGCGGCCGCTGGTTCGTCCTTTCCGCGTCGCCTCGGGCCGCAGTATCGTCGCGGCGACGGCGGGGGCCGGGGGCGGCGCCGGCTGTTGATGTCTTGCAGAACGCCGGGGGCGCCGGCTGCGTGTGGCGTGGGGGTCTGTTGGGGGGCGTTGGCGACTGGGGAACTTGGGTGCTGGGGATTGCCGGCGCGTATTCGGGTGGGGGCGCATTGTGTTCGTGTGATTGTGTGTGAGTGTTTTTGACAATATGTGCGCACGTGTGCACCGGCACTTTTGCATGTATGCACAGGCGTAGCCCGTGGCGCGGCGCTGGCCTGCAGCGATCGGGGCCGCGCAGGCCAGGGTACATGCGGCTCGTGGGAAGCAGCATGTCTGCTGCACACGCATGCACTCCGTCTGCCCACCCAAAGCCCATCCTCCACCCAGGCCTCCCTAGCGCCCATGCCCCATCCTGCACCCGCAACCCCCCAATCCCTATCCCAGGTGTTCCGCAAGGCCGCCGCCTCCGCCATCACGCTCGGCAGCGGCGCGTCCCTTGGCCCCGAGGCGCCCAGCGTGGAGCTGGGGGCCAACACGGCGGCCGTCCTGGCTCCGAAGCACCTCAGCAAGCGGCGGCAACGGATGCTGGTCGCCGCTGGCGCCGCAGCGGGTGGGTCGGCCCCAGCAGCGCGACCTGGATGATTGCTCCCAACCACAATTGTTGGCCGCGATGCGGCGCTCGATCAGCGGCCCGGCCGGCCCTCGGCGACGCCGCGGTCCTCCGCGACTCCCATGGTTTATCACTCCCACTAACCACCCATCCGGGCGCAACCCTTGAACACATGCACACGTGTGCACCTTCCACACTTTATATTCCCCCCCCCCACACACACACACAGACATGCACTTTCACATTCACACACATGCATACACTCTCACACAAATGCTTACACGCACAAAATTACACCCATGTACACGCCCACCCCCTCCCCAGGCGTCTCCGCCGCGTTCGACGCCCCCACCAGCGGCGCCCTCTTCGCCGTCGAGTTCGTCCTCAAGTCCTCGCGCCTCGGCCTCGACCGCCTGTCCACGTCCGTCGTGTTTGCGTCCACGTCAGTGGCGGCCGGCGTGGTCGGCTTCCTGCGCAGCGAGGGCCGCGCGCTGGGGATCGCAGGCGTGTCGCAGCACCTGGTGGGCCGGATCCCCTATTTCAGCATCCAGCCGAACCTCCTGATCGACGTGCTGCAGGTGAGGGGGCTGGCCGGGGGATCCCCCAGGGGCGCCGCCGGCCCTGAGGGCGCGGCTGGCTGGGAGTGCGGCGGGCAGCACGCAGCCCGAGGCGCCGGCAGGGGTGCCCGGGGCCTCCCTCTGGCTGTCCGCCTCTCTTGCAGATGTCGCGGGTGCCACGGGTTTCACAATCCTCACGTTTCTTACCAATCTATTGGCGTGCGCCATCAACACACCACCAACCCCAACAC